ACCAGGGAAGAAAAGTCAGAGGCTGCCAAGAGTCATCAATATACTTTTCCTTCAAAGCATAACTAGGAATTTTCTGTTTTAAGCTCTCCTCATAGCTGAAGGCTGGAAGTAGGGGAGGGGTAGGTGTGATTGCTGTCCTTAGAGTGCTTCATTTTACTGGTTTGCCCTGGTTGTTGGTGTAGAGCAGCTTAAGAGGATGGCAGCTGACTGAACACCCTTTTGATTCTAAGGAAACAACCCCAGAGCTGTTTGTTAACACCTCCCTTTTGGATGGGGAGGAAAACCCTTCCCTCAGTGTGGCTTGGAGTAGCGTTACTCAGTAACGCTCATGCTGTGACAGCAAATCTAAGATGTGGTGTAGGGATTGCATATCCTTAGAAACTATTACTGAAAAGTTACATTTGCTGCAGTTAAGTGTGTTCTCAAAGCCTGCTGAAATGAATTGCACAGTCCAAAAGGCTTTGGTGCTGATGCTCACGCCCGTGGGGAGAATGGGGATACAGTCCAGTGGCCGATGTGCTATAAGGAGATTGCTTTGTGATCTTTTTCCCCTTGAACTGCAGCTCCTGGAATTCAGCTTCATTCCTGAAAAATCTCCCTTTTCTGCTTGTAATGTCTTGTATCTGTGCCCTTTCTCTCTCCCTCGTCTAGAGCTGTCCTGTAACTTGGACTCTTCTTCCTTTACCTGCTTGCTAGTGATTGCTGCAGACCTGAGTTAACAGAGCAAGTGTAGAGCAGCAGCTGCAGAGCTGACAGAAAACGGAGCCTGATCTCAATCAGAGAGCTGAGATTTCTGTGCTGCTGAATACAGGCAATTTATATCTTGTAGTAGTTTTAATAAAAAAAATAAAGCCAACAAAAACTACAATCCCCCTCCTCCTTATTTAGCAAGCTGGGACAGAAGCATCTCTCAGGGTGAGCAGAGTTAATCTTCATCATTTGCAGGATTGACTGACAACCTGGAGGATGATAATGTGTGATTTTTTTTTTTCCTGATGAGCGGGGGAAGAGAGTAGAAATTGCAGTTTCTCTGCTAATTGTACTTTAGATGTCATTTGTGACAATTTCATATTGTCTAGACAGAGATAGTGGAGCAATTGCTTCCATAGAGCCTAGTGTTAGCCTGTTATATATCTGGATAGCAAAAATGGGGGATGTGGGAGAGGAGGAGGTTGCTGTAAGCTGTAAGAAAGGATTCAGGAGTCAAGTATGATCTGCTGAAATGTTTCAAAAGGAGGTGCAAGCAATATGCATTTCTGTTGTCTCTTTTCATGCTTCTCTGTTGGAAACTTAAATGTTTAGTGGCTAGCAGTTTACTGCAACAGAGCCATATCTCTTGATCCGTGGACTATGTTTGTCTTCCTTAGCAGAATTGCTCCCAACCTTACATTTACTGTGGTAGGATATTGGACTACCTTACACTTTGAGTTTACTGAAAACAAATAGTCTGTGTCTCTTTTGAGATTTCAAGTGCCAGAAGCTATTGAGTGTAACACCTAAGACATGGCAGAGTGCAGCATGACTTGCTTTAAGAATATTCATCTGCACCTTCCTGAGGGACAGTAGGTTACATTCTCAGTGACACAGATGAGACACTTTGATGATTATAGCAATGTATCTATTATTGAGCCCATTTGCCAGTACTAAATGCATTTGGATTTGCAACTTTGGGTCTCAAGGGCTAAGTCTAGAATGAGTTAGTTAAAAGGGATTTTATTTGTGCTTAGTACTCTGCTTCAGTACAGTTATTGTTATTCTCTGGAGCATTAAGCACAGAGATGGTCTGTCTGGATCTCACGAGATTGCTTGTTGCCTTGTTTTGGATTTTTTGCCTGTTATGTGTATTTATATCCTTCTGTTCATTGCTCTGTGATCTGAGAGGGCACAGTTGCAGGATAATTAACATCTACTAATCAGACTTAAAATCAGCTCTAGCTTTTAGCAGTTACTATTAACTGAATTAATTATCTTTATCCACATGATCTGAATGTGGCCCCAGTATGTGGCCTGTGTGCCTCAGTGTGAGGCAGTGCAGGAGTTGGACTTGGTCTTGGCAGGCTTGGAAGGCTCTGCTGGAAAGGCCATCTTAACTGAGACCATTCAACTTGGACAGTGCAAGCTCAGAGAAGGTTCTGGGAAATGTATTTAACAGTGTTTGTAATCCTGTTCCTTACAACCCAGTAATGACTGGTCTTCCAAGGGAGCCCTTCTGGTGAAGGAGATGTTCTTGCTGCAGCAGCTTCTGTTGCTGCATGGGATGGAGTTGAAGCCTGTTCAGGTAATGTTACAGGGCTGTTGAAGCCCACAGGAAGTCTCTTTACCTGGACACTTGGCCATCCTGTGGCTTAGGCAACTGTTGGTTACTAAAGTAACCTGTATCTGTTCTCATCTGAGGTGCCAAGTACCTGCTATAGCAAGACTCTTCAAATATTTATTTCAAGGATCTGTTGCAGTGTAGTGGTGAGAATTATAGATTCCCAATAGTGCTGTCCCCAAGCCAAGCAAGGGGTCTCCTGACAGACCCACACCAAGTTACAGTGATGTGTGCCCTGCTCTCCTGCACCCTTGTGGTGTCCTCTGCTTAGTATAGATTTTTGATTTCTTTCAGCATAGTTGCTGGATGCTTTCTGAATATGATCCCTCAAAGTCTATAATCATCTTAGGCAGTTGCCAGTTTTTCCAAAGGTGAGAAGACAAATATGGGTGGAGAATATCAGGAGACTTCTTTCTAGCAGGGCTTGCTAGGTTGTGCAGCATGTACTCGTCATCTTCCCTTGTGGCTTTGATTTTACTGTGTCACTTAGCCAACAGATGCTGAAAGGCTGGGAAAGAAGGTGGGATGTGTAGTGTATAGGCACCAAGACTTTTGATAGGGGTGAGTTTGAGGGCTATTTGTGTGTACACGTTATTGGAACACCGTAGGCATTGCTCACATTAGGAGGAACTGCTGTTTCTAGGGTTGTGACCTTGCCAGAATCTGCATGGTCTCTAAGCTCTTTCCCCTTAAGTCCAGTGATCATGCAGGATGTTCCAGTAGGGTGGCAGCCTTGGCATATCCAGGTTGCTTGCAAAATACTGTTTTTGGAGCAGCTTAGAAAAGCAGTTTTCTCAAAAGCATGTTGGTATTGCAGTGGCAGTAACCTAGTCTCTGAACTCTGAGCCAGTGGTTTAGAAGTGACCAGCTACCTGAGTAGGAAGAATATCCCTTCGCTGATTTTAATCTGTCTACCTTTCCCCTAGAAGGAATTAAAGCAGTTTATATGTGATGCAAGTAATAGGTATACCTGTATACCTCACAGGTATGGGACTTCAGGTATACCTTATAAAGCTATAGCAGTGTTCATTCTGGATTGGGTGCTTTTTTGCACATATTGATATGTAATTGGAGCAGAAGGAAGAGTTTGGTAAGCCAGGATTGAAATGTAATGAATTTTTGGGTAGCCAGGGGATTAATAATATCTAGCAGTATTGAATGTTAGAGCTTTTGACTCAATCTAGGAACCAGGGGAATTAATTAAACTCAAAGTTTAGAGATTTAATAACTGTTCTTGAATGATGCAAATAGTTGCCAAACAACTGTGCTAGAAAGGACAGGATTTCTTGCCTTATGCATAGTCCCAGTGCTTTGCAGCAAGTACTGAGTTTCTCAGGCTGACACACAATTTTCCAGCTGGGAAACTGAAGCAATCTTTCACTGTTTTCTGTATTCCATATCTATAATGTAAAATTGAAGTAAATTTTTTTTTAATTGTTGGAAGACAGTAAAAATTGTTCTTGAGATCCTGATGGGTGGGCTGCTGCTAGGAAAAAAAATGTCTCATATGCAATTCTGCTGTCTTTATGTGGCTAGAAATGGGAGGTTGGGTGTGAATTTTATCTGGTCCTTCTTCTTGCTTCCTGTGTTGATACTTGCTGTCCTGCACTGCAAAGGCACTGTTATTATTACTATTACTATTATTACTATTATTATTATTATTATTAGTGTGGGGTTAAGACTGAAAGATTCAAATCTTTCTCAACAGCTGTGTGTATGACTGAACAGAACAGATGTGGTGCTGGACCTCTTTGACTTTCAAACCACAATCACTTTCATTAAGTTGCAGACTGGAAAACAAAATTTAGTGGGAGTTCTGAGGTAGAAAGACTTGAAAGAGAACTCAGCAATCTTATAAACTGTGAGATTTTTTTTTCCAATTTCTGTACCTACCCCAAACTATCCCTTGTGTTAACCTAATGTCTGCAACTGGCCACGAGTCAGTCTTCAAACAGTGCTCTGGTTTATGGCAGAAGGTAGGACAGAGGTGCATGTAGAAGCCAGGGTGGGGGACATGTTCCTGCTACATACTTTGGATTCTGCTACCTTCATGACTCAGTCTCACTTCTTGTGTATTCAGGCTGTCTGGCTGCATTTGCATACATTTACTTCTTGAGTGAATGTTTGGTATCTCACCCTGTGGCTGATTACAATACAGAGGAAAAGAACATTTTTATTTTTTGTAGTTGAAAACCTCTCTTTCAGAGCCTTGAGACTTAAGATTCCAGATCTTACAATGAATAGACATCAGTGGTGCCCTTAAAGTCCACGTGCTACTATGTATTCTTTGTCCCCTGCTCCCTGGCCCTTTCCAGGTGTAGCCACCTTTGAGTAGGTAGGAATTTGACAGATGGCCAATGCAGCGGTAGTGTTTATGGACCTGACACATTGGGATGCGTTGTCTCCAGAGAAGTGACATCTACATCTTTCTCTTGGAACTTGGAAGCAGATATGGGACCACTCCTCTTCCTTACCTGAGGTGTTCTTTCTCCTGTGCAGTGAGAACATAAAACTTTGAATACCTGTGTGGTGAAAACACTTCTGCCATCAGCGAGTGGTTCAGTATGTTGCAGAATTCTCTGCACTAGTGATAGAAATAGTCTTAAGAGGTTTCAGAAAGTAGGTCCTATATAGGAGGGATGTTCCTGAATGGTCTTTGACGTTGTAATTTGTTTTTCCTTTCTAGGAGGTTGCTGGAGTCTTCCCTCATTTCATTATCTCGCTATGATGGAGCAGGATCCCGGGAACATCCAATCTACCCAGATCCAGCCAGGTAAGACCCAAATGCAGTCTAAAGGCATTTAAGTTCTATATGCAAAAGCATAACTTCAGTATAACTCACTGAAACCTCTGACAATGGTTCTAATATTTGGTTCTAATATTCTTAATGACTTGTCATGGGGAAAGAGAGCAAAACAAGTGAGCAGATGCTGTTAAGTCTGGGGGGAAATGAGGAAAACAGGAAGGAATTACTTGTGAAGTAAACACATAAGAATCCATGAAATTATTTGGTTTGAAGAACACTAGGTGGCAAACAGGTCCAACAGTAAATGAGCTGTATCAATATATTAAAAATCTCTTTTGAAGAAAAATGAGTTAAAAAACAAATAGTCTATTCAGGAGAAAGAACGAATGCAGTAAAGGCAATTAGGAGCTGGTGTGAGCAGAAAATGTGCTTGGAAGCATGAATTGTCTCCATAAATGTATCTGTACACGAGAGAGTATAGCCAGAAGGGTATGTATACTTAACTAAGAACAAAATACTGACAATTATTTTTGAAGAGTCATGAATCATTGACATTAGACATAGAAACACCTGTAGTGCTGCTTAATCTTCAAAAGAGGTGGGAGTGTTTCAGAGGACTAGAAAAAGCAAATGTGGCAGTTATCGAAAATGGAAAGAAATGATCTTTGCAGTTTCTATTTAGTGTATTAAAAAAGCCACAGATGGGATAATGTGACCTAAAGACTCTGTCAGAAGAAATGATAGAATCGTGAACAGCAAGCAGCTTTGGAAACTTTCAAAGAATAAATCATGACAAATAAGCTTTCTTTAGATGGGTTTAGGAAAGCTATGAATGAGGAAATTCAGGAAGTGTAAAATATATCTGATTTAGCCTTTTGGAGAACCTCTTGCATAGCTGTGTGAATTGAAGGCTACTAGGATTTATCATAAAGGAGAGTACAGGAATATCACTGAAAATTAAATCTTGAGTTGCTGAAATAGGTTTGTTGTTGTGTGAGGTTGAGGGAGGGCAGCTTACTTTATTTTCTTCATCATTAACCAGAAAATCTGCGTTTTTATACAGATAATACTCTGAAATAAAAGGCTGTGTTGCAAACTGACCAGATAGTATAATTGTGTTGGGAAATAACTCCTTGCAAACTGTCTCTGTAGATAAAGCCTTGTGGAGGTGAAATCTTATATTTGGCTCTTTTCCATTTATCATGAAGAAAGTTGCCTTGTAAAGATAATTCAAAGGATTAGGAATGATGTAAACAAATTGCAGTGAAGTAAAAGTAAGGTGGTGTGTGCTGCCTGTCTGTAAGATCCTTGGGAAACCAACCTAGGTGACTGCTGAAGGTCTTGGTAATTGCATATCAGAAATGCTGATAAATGTAAAAGCTTCTAAATGGCAGTTGGTAAAATGGCAGGTAAAGGGTTTGGTTTACCTGGAAAGATGAAAATTATATTCTACAAATGGTAATTTAAGGCTATTACTACATTCAAGTTAATTTTGAGTACCAAAAGTTGCTATATTGCTGGAAGTGCACCATTCCTTGTTTCTGGAATGCCTTGTCCAAAGCAGGCAGATTGATAGAGCAGATATTTTAAGAACTGATTCCAACTCTCTGGGAGCTGCCTTTTAAAAAAGAAAAGGTGGTCTTGCCTGGGTATCTGAATTTGTTTCCTCCTTTTGTCAGATGTCTGCTATGATGAAGCTCAATGAAATATATGAAAAGGGATCAATGCCTGAGACGTTTCCTAGCATAAGGGGCATGGCCAAAAATATTTTTCTACTTGAAGCCATTTTAGAACTGATACAATGCTTTTCATGTGACAGTTCAAGTGATTTTAAGTTGTGGTAGAAGCTATAGTAGCTTGAGTTTATAAGGAGCTTTGGAAGAAAAGTCCAGTTTCAAAACTCTTCTAAGGGGGTTAATTTGTTCCAGTGAATATCACTGTCCTTTTCAGAGGATGAGCTTCATAGAGGTGTGATCAGTACCAGCTGCAAGTTTGAGTGGGATAGGATTAGAATCTTCCTCCATAAACCTTACTGGTGTGCTGGATTAATAGGATATTTTTAACTGTCCCTTTAACTAGTTAGAAATTTGGAAAGTGATTAAAAGGAGTGCTACTGCATTTTGAAGGGCTTTTTGTAACATCCTAAGTTCTGAGTATAAAGCCATGTCTTGGAGAAATTAAGTAACAATGTGGAAAAGTGGAACAAGCACATGGTGGAAAGGTGAAATAAACACATCTATATCTATTAATAAACATCTATGTATGTGTCTCTGTGTTTATGTGTTTTAAAATATATGTATTAAATATATGTACTTCCTTAAGATCAAACTGTCTCCAATGGAGCCTTTTTTTTAAAGAGTACATAAACTACATGATCTGAAAAATTTATTTTTGAGAGCCTGTGTATATGTTAGTTTTGTTTCTGCATTTACTGTCTGTACTGGTGCTATATTTGAATAACCTGGGTCAGCAGTGAGGCAGAGAGAATATTTTTTTAGCGTTCCCTCAGATTTAGAATGAATGTTTTGATGTAGACTGCAGCAGTATTTCTCAGTGGCCTTGCTGAACTTCACTAAGGTCAGCTTGGCTGTTCTGTCATTCTCCACAGTTTCCATATGTACTAGGCTCAGAAAATAATCTGCAGAAGAATCAGATTAAGCTGTCATCAAAGAAAACCTATAGTAATATTTTTTTTTAAATAGAAATACTCAATAAGAATTACATATGCTCCTAGATTGCATGTATAAAGCATCACAGGGTGTTTGTTGGATATATCTCTAGGAAAAAAAACCTAAGCAGTTAGAAAGTATTTTATCCTTTACACCTTTCTTGTGATGTCTTTGGAGATCTTTTTCATAGTGTATTCAGTGTACACACCATGTGCTGTCAGGAAGCTGAATCTGGCATCTTGTCATTGGTTATGGCCACTCTTTATTGCCTACTCTTTTTTCTAACAAGCATCACCATGTTTTTTCTTCTGCTTTCCTGCATAATTTTAGAAGACTGCTGAACTCCTTCTTCATATTCTTATGTAAAGTTCTCCTTTGGTATGATATTAGGAAAAAAAAGTTTCAGTGGTTATACTGCTGGACTGCTGAGACCACTGTTCATGTTTTCCAGTATTTGCCTTGTTTCCTTTTCCTCTTTTTTTTCTTTCTGTACATGTTATGCTGTAGATTTATTTTTAGGCGTGCACAAATGCTTTGGCTTATGGAAAAGCCCAGAGAAGAGAACAGCTTCCCATTTATTAATGGGCATCTGTAATGCCTTGCTTTTTTATATTTGACCTATTAAGTCTTTTGGAGAGTAGAGGGAAGTGATGTGTTTGTTCAGCAAAGCCTTCTTTATGTAAGCATGAACAGGTTTAACTCATTAAACAATGCATAAAAGATTCAGGAGGAATCAAGCTGAGTGTGTTGTTCCTCTTACCCTTTTGATGCTTATCAGCTTAAGTTTTTACACCTCTGAACCTGTAGTCTGTCTCCCAGACTTGTCCTCCCCCGAATTAGAATTCAAGTCTAACCAAATAAGGCTAATGAAATGATAAATCCAGCATCTGACGTGTCTGGATTTTAACACTTGAGTAAGTGTGTCACAGAAAAAATGTGCGAGGAGCTGTGGATATACACAGGGTAAGAAAAGAGAGTAATACTAATGTGTGATAGCTGATGGAAACAAATGCTAGGTTATGCATGAGAGAGAATTAAGAGTTAATTACAGAGGAAAGATTTCCTTTTAGGGGGGATGCAAGGCTTTTAAAGCTCCACTTAACATATACCTTGTGGATCTGATGAAATTGCCACTATGTAAAATCCTTACCATTTAGATTACAAAGTTAAAGATGTGAAACCTTTTTTTTTTCCTGCTTGATATTCCGTGGTACTCACTAAGTACCATCAAAACAACAGCACCTTCCTTCAATGTTTATTTGAACAGTGCTGCTGTTTGGCACTGCAGGCAGAGTTCACATTGGGACTGGGCCTGGTTTTTACAAAGTGATGCTTGCTGAGCTTACTTGACTGAACTGGTAATAAATGAATCAGTGAGCTCAAGAGAGTCCTGAGAAGCAAATTTCTCTGTTCTGTGGATGAGCTTTTTGTCTGTAGGTACTGTGTGGTGCTTCTGTTTGCAAAGGGGATCACGTGGGAATATAGCATATAAAGGGAAAATTACTTTTCCTTGCTTTCTTTATTTACTTTACCTTACAGATAAAATGCAAACAGTCAATCTTGTGATAGGCTGTTAGTGGCCTGGCACTTGGAGTTCAGAAGGAAAAATAGGACTGGCTGTCATTCTGTACTTATGTAATGAGTATTTGTGTATCTTTTTCTTGCTCAGGTTGTCTCCTGCTGCATATTATGCTCAGAGGATGATCCAGTATCTTTCCCGGAGGGACAGTATTCGACAGCGCTCTATGCGATATCAGCAAAACCGTCTGCGCTCTTCCTCCTCCTCTGCTTCCACTTCAGACAGCTCAAACCCATCTGTGGAGGGAAATGATCTGGAATTTGAAGATTTTGAGTAAGTGTGTGTGCTGCCTAGCTCTCTTGCTTGTGTCTGTTGTCAGCACAGGACTGCTTTCCGGTACCCTACTGTTTATCAATCAAAGACACCTTAGACTTCTTGTAGGAATAGGTTAAATAATCCAATCAATAATTCGAGTATTGATTGCTAGAAATTGGTCTTGTCATTTCTGTTGTGAAAATTAAGGATGTTGTAGGCTACCTTCAACACATTAGGGTATCTCAACCACATTTAGAAGGCTGGTTAAGTAATGAAAATTAGGATATTTTTCTCCATTGGAACAGATAGGGAGCCAGGAGTTTACTAAAGTTGTCAAACCTTGAGACAGAACAAGAGTCACTAAGAGACTTTGCAAGACTTAGTTCTTTGGTCTAAGGCTATAGGAGACAGACAAACATACCCTGTTGCTTTTTCTTGCCCTATCTCTGTAGCTTTGTCAAATTAGCTGATGTTCTTGGGATTAGGTTTGTTTGGTTTGGTATTTTTTTAAAATTTGGTGATTGTGAATCTTTGTTAAGGCTTGGTTTCTTGTAAGGAGATAAAAAGGCCTCTTGTGTCAAAAAGTGAGGAATAGATCTGCATCCAAACCTTAGAAGAATATTCCTGTTAGCCACTGTATTTCTTTCTGAGTGGTTCTGCTGACAAACTTTTCTCCAGCATTTGCTTTTGGACTTCCAGTGATACCCAGTGTAAGCCCAGCAAAAAACTTATTGCAAACACTAATAAATGGAAGAGTATAGTAGTGTATTCTTTAGATGGCATGTAGACCAAAAGCTCAGGAATTTAGATTAAAATTCATTTTAGCAGCAAAGAGAATATAACCTTTCTAGCCTGTCTTCAGTAATTTCCTTTTAAATAGGGGATTTTCACTGGGTAGCCATAAGTATTTCACTGAATTTTCCCCCATTTGTGTATGCTGCAGTTAAAACATAGGATCATTCTGAGCATGATTGTAGAAGTAGTCTGTGGTTATAGTATACTAGGGAGGTGTGTTTGAGGGGAGCTGTGAACTCCTCAAAAAATCTGAGTTGTTATGTTGCAGCTGCCAGCAAAGGATGCTATCAACTTCCCTGCTATTTTAATTTGCAATTCACTTGCTGCAGTGGCACATACTTGAGATGACATGTTGTTAAAGCTCCATGACCTTTGTGTCAGGGTGAAGTCCCTTTATGAAGGACACTAGTCACACTAGCTATTCCTAAAAGCAAGACTCTAATCCTTTTCTAACTTTTAAGTGGTAGTAGGCTACTTTTTTCTTAGAAAGTTGTTCTGTGAAGGTGTCATTTCATGCTCCAGCAATTGAGTATTCTGAAGTACAGGGTGAGAGAATGTCTTTCCCTCTCATTGTGGCTTTGTTTGTGTAAAATGTAAATGAGGGCAGATAAGCTATTAGGCAGTGACTGTTCTGCATTTTCTCCAGCATCTTTGTGGTCTGGAAGAGCAGAAATATGCTGGCTGCTGGGTCTGTTTTTGTGAAGTGTGTTGGAAGCCTAGACCTTACTATTTCCATTATTGCGTTTTATTTGTCTAGGGCAACTTGTTCTGCTGGAGAAGTAAAAAATGGTATGTTCTTCCTTCACAGAGGCAGGCAAATGCCTGTAGAGAAGTGTGTTCCCCTGCAGATAATGTTCACACAGTAAGAGCACCCAGTCAGGGAAGCAATTCAATCAGCCATACTAAGGTTGTCTTTCATTTCATACTGAGCAAAAAGAACTGTTTATTCCTGTGCAGTGCCTGAATTTGTTGGTTGAATATTTCATATCAAATTCTGGTCTGTGCATTCAAGACCTGCTGTCTTTTTGCTTTTCTGCTTCATTATTTCTCTTGGCTGATTAAAGAGGGCTGCTGTGCAGGGGTCCTTAGAGCTGGAACTTCTCGTGACTCGTTTGATTTCTTCTGCTGAGACTTCACAATTAAATGTCTTACAGAGTTCTTCGCCTTTTGGCTCTTGTATCCCTCTTTCCTTGCTTGTTCACCTGTACAGTCATGTATTGCTTCGTGGACGATTTTTCTTGCTGTGGTTTAGGTAGTCTGACTTCACTGTGTCTCCAGTTTTGCTATAGGGAAGGGTGTTGCTGCTGTGTCTAGCTGTCTGCAGCTTATGCTTTTCTCCTGAAATACAGGGAACTTTTTTTTCCATAAATACCAGAAAATTGCCTTGGTACTTCATCTTTCTAATTTGGCTAATATAATTGGTAAATAATCTCTTTTGGTTTCCCAGAGATTAGGAGAAAGATGTAAGTGACATTAAACATCAATTGGTTTTACTATGCATAGAGCACTGGGCAAAGAGTAAACCCTGTGCTTGTGCAGGATGCCTGGGAGACAAGCCTTCCTCTGCTTTCATGTTTTGTGGGATTCAGAGGTTTTTTTTCCTACTCAAAAATTAATTTTGTCTTTTTTCAGTTTTGTTTACCTAATGGCCTAGTAAGGGGCATGAAAAACTTGGCCTATGCACTGTTTGTGTGCTTATGGCCTCTAAATTTAAGCTAAAACCTCTCCTGTGTCTCAGTCAAGGGTGAATTCATTCATAAATACGTGTAGTTTGTGATGGCTATAGAAGTATTGTTCGTATAAGAATCTGAAGTAGTGTTTTTTATGGGTGTTAGTAATATCCTTCTTTTACACCAGCTTTTCTGGACAGGAGAGGAGGAGGAAGACACACTATACCTGTGTTTTTTGATCTAATAAGCTGTTCTCTCTCTACATGTGCTCCCTGTGTTTAACCTGTCACTGTTGTCATCTTAATGCTTATTGAATGCAACTGTCAACTGTAAACTTAGTCATATCTACATAAAAGCATTTAATACAGTTTGTAATATATATATGCAGATTGTAATATTAGGTTATTACCAGATAGATTGATATGAGTGGGTTTTAAGGTTAGCTTTAGTAGAATTGTAAGGTAAAATGAAAAGGCTTCCCAGCTTGTGGAATAGGAATCTTTGAATGAAGAATGACATCACTTTAGTCTTCCAGCATAACTGGTAAGAATAGGTTCTTTATAGACAAGTTATACATGTTGAACTTTCTAATTTCAAGATCTTACTTGAATGCCTTATGTTGCATCACATAGTAAATTTAGATTTTTAAAGCACAACTATTTTGAGTTTTTCAAGAATTTTGATTTGGTCTCTTCTATAGACTTCCTTTAGTCTAGAACAGCTCTCTGATGTTGAAGACTGTGGGTGATGCTTCTAGGACTCCTTGGATAGTGCAATCTCATTTCTTTCATTTGTAATTCTGAATTGTTACTATAGTCAGAATGTGAAGGTGTTTCCGTAGGTGAATTTGGCCATCTATGTCCCTTTTTGTCTGCAGTAACTATGGGAATATACAGGTTTGTTTCATCTGTCAGACTGAAAAGCAGATACATAGGACAGTGCACCAGCCCTGAAAGCCTGTGTCAAACCCTTCACTACAGTTCAAAAAAGGCTTTCAAGCTAAGGCTAAAGGTGTGACTGTGGCTGACTCCTCTGTCTACTTCCAAGAGTGGGCTGCCTGACAGAATATAGATATAAAGGAGCTTGGCGATTACTCATTTCATGTCTCCAGCTTTTCCCTGTTCTGTTTTATCCTTTCTCCTTCCTCGTTAGGAGGGTTTATGCTGGCATGGATTCATCAGTTGTGCATTGTCACAGGCTAGGTAGGTCTTTATTGTGTCTCTATAACAAGATGGGCTTTAACTCAAAGGCCTGAAGTCTTATTTTAGTGATTCATCTGTTTAATTTTTTCTGAGACACTACAAGCATCCAGACAGAAAATATGAGAACTGTAGGCACTGTTTTACTGAGACCCTAATGGACCTTCTAGTTTTGTTGGAAGCAGGCTCTTGCTTTGCAAAGATGATTAATCACTTAAGGAAAGATTACAAAATTCAGTGTGATGTTATTTGGCTTTATTTGTCACTTTAAAATCCTTTTGTTTAAGGCATGTTCTGGACCAAGAGTTGTGGTTTCTCAGATGGATGTCTTGCAAGGGTCTGCTCCTAAGTGCATAAGATACATGAGTATCTGTCACACTTGCCTCCTGCTGGTTTTGGTTACTTTATAGACACTGTCTTGGCAAGAAGTGCCAAATCTAAATTCTTCCAACAGTCTCTCGTCTTGAAAGGTTCTAAGATCGAAACCTGCCAGCCAACTGCCACTGTATGAAAGCTGCAAGTCTTATTTCCAGTGTCTTGTATGTAATTTTCATTCATTTTGGAGAATAGTGTGGCAGATTCTTTTTGGCCTCTTCTATAGGTGAAATGTTTGTTTTGGGAGTCTGGTGTGTGCTCCACTTCAAGCTGGCATTCTGGTTTAACTTTTTGTATTAAGAAGAAAAGTGCATATCTGATTAGACATTTGTGTGAGATATCCAGGAAATCACCCTTCTTTTGGAAAGTCTTCATTTAAAGTATATTTTGTTGTTAACTTCTTTAGGAACCTTGACTGGGGCACTGATACTTGACAATATGAATTAGTAACTGTCTGGATGCAGTCGTGTCTGAACTAACATTATGCAGTGGGAAAGAAAAGGGAAGACAATGGCTGTGGCAGTGTGGTTGCTCAGTAGTGGGTATTTGGGTAGTAGGTTTGGTTGTGGGTTCTGTTCTCTGTATGGCTCCTCGGGTGGAATGGTAGAAGTGAGATTCAAGCAGGGATTTGTGTGTCATGGTGAGAATAAGCATGTGGTTTGCTTTGGGACAGAAAGATTTTGGAAGTTTCAGTGAAGGGAGAGGTTGGAGATTGCCAGCTACTGAAATAACTTCTTTCTTACCCTTGTGATGGAGTCCATGCATGTGTTTAAATCCAGTCTCTGCCTTTTTAGTCTGACTCTGTATCACTGTTTGCTAGAGGCACAGTGCAGTGGGGGCAGGACTAACCTGCAGCAGTGCAATCAATTTACTGTGCACTTTCTGACTTCCCTTAGAACACCAGCCACTAAGAGCACATGGGTAGAACTTGGACTCTTTGTAAAGTCCTGGTCTTTACTGCTCTCCTTCACAGCTGTCC